CTCAACAGGGGGGGAAAGCAGCTATTGACTTCAAAGGAAGTATAGACCTATCCTTCAGAAGTATTTTGGGGGCCTACTACTTTAAGCAATGAAATAATAAAATAAAATAAAATGCTCTTAAGCAATTTAAAACATACACTGAAGAATTTCTTTCCTTCAAATCACAGACTATGTGTTCTGAACTTTTAGGTTTATTTCAGAATATCCTGGTTTACATTTGTCCCAGTTTGTAGAAGAAATGCTTCAACTTCTTTGAAGAGATACTAATTTCACAGATATTTCTGCGAGGGAAAAAATGTTATAGTTATAACACTATACATTATTAACACACAAAAAGCCCTATACATGAAAATTTGAGTAAAGAGATGATGAATTTGCAAATTTTTATGCATCTATCTCGCAGGCCAGTTCACAAACTTCTACAGGTTTTCTATCTCAATTGCTACACTGCCATGCTCATAACAAGATCAACTTCCATTTTGCTTTATATATAATCTCATGGTTTTCCACTCAGCTATTCACACTGTAATACCACAGAGTTCAGGTTAATAAACCCTCTCTTTTTGTTAGAAAAGACATCCATCAATAATAAAGCCTCCTATTAGCTATTCTTTCACATATACAGATTTACCTTAGAAAGACAGGGATGCACAAGAGAGCTAGATTGGCCCAGAAAGCCACACATCCCAGCAAAACAGTAATGAGGATCCCAGAATACTTTTCTTAACAACCTTCACCTGCAGGCACCCCAGGACCCAGAGACAGGTTAACAAGGTTAGATCTCAGCATGAGCAGGTCAACTGGAAAAAAATAAAAAAAGGGGGCGGGGGGGCAGAGAGAGGAGAAAAAAAGCCAACTCCTACAAAGCTCCTAACTCCTTTGTCTTTGGGCCATAAAGCATAACAGGGTATTTTGTGATAACACAATATTTTTTAATATTAGGCACATACAAGAGTCATAGCAGGAACCAACACAAAAACCTCACACACAGAGAGTTGACATTTGATTATTCCCAAAGTCACCTTAGAAAGATAAGGAATCCTCACAGCCTTCCTTCTTCACACAAACTGCTGTAGTTACTACAGAGATATTACAAGCCATTATTGGAAAGAGACAGGTTTTTACTTAAAAAAAAAAAAAAAAAAAAGTCTACGGAAAGGTTTGAAAAAAATCCTCTTGGGGAATAACAGCATAAAATAAAATTAAAAGTTTCAAGGCTGTGGGAGGCAAGATTTGAATTGACCTGAAAAATCAGACTAGCGAACTCCAATAAATCAGTATTATTCTCGTGCAAACTGAATTAGAAGATTCAAGTAAGATTATACATAGATCTGTAGCTGAATTTTTCAAAATAAGGGCTAAAAGCACCATTGAAGCACGACTTGCAAAGAAGGAATTTTGAAGTTTATATTGTACTGCCAAAGCTATTACCTGTTGACTAAGGTACCTGTACAGGAAGTGGGGTTTTGAACCCTCATTGAAAAAGGGCTTCAAGTCTCTAATAAAATGAATTAACTGTAAGATTATCAGTTCAAAGGTAGATAGAAGCTTTTCATTCACATTCCATATTAGGAGAAACAAATAAATAATAGAAAGGTTCTACTCTGTCCAAGCACATAACTTAGGTCCTGAATAATTATGTAGATTAAACTTACTTTTTAGATATCAAATCAGAATTACACCTAGATGTTCAAGCTACACTAATCCTGCATATCTGCCTACCTACAAATGTAAAACTCAAATGGTATTCACATCCAAAATTAATCCAATCAGCAGAAGTGGATGCCCAAAATTAGAAAACACTATTGGGTACAAGTTTGGGCTAATAATTTGAATTTCAGGTCTGTTGTACGTGCTCAAGTTTCATTTGTTTCCATCTGGTCCTATACGCTAGGAATTCTTCAATTCTAATTATGCCTCTGCCATACACTTTCTCCAGACAAGAGCAAGTACATCTGAAATTTAGTTTTCATGTTTGTAAAATGAAGATAACATATCTCTAAGGTTGAGAGAGTTAGTGCTGATAAGGTGCTTTCAAGACTATGATTTTTTTTCCTACTCCTGCTTCCATCATGAAGGACTCTCAGGTCAGACTGAGACACATGCAACCCATGATTAAGTTAACACTAATCTGTCTTTCAATACACCCTGAAAACTATAAAATGAGAGCACAGTAGTTTCTGTTGTATTACTTTTGCTTACAAAATTTAAATATTTATAGTTTATATATATTATCATATTCATAAAATTTATAGAATACATTCTCTTAACCATTCACTCAAAAAAAATTAGAAGAGGTACTATTAATTTAGCTTGAGCTTAATTATTAATTAATGGGGGGGGAGGAGGAAAGAAGGAGGAGGAAATCACTCAACTAAACTCTTTGATACATATTTAAGGATTTCAACTTTTTCACAAGAAATGGTAACTCTTAACTTTTCTTGGTCTCACCTCTCCATACTCTGTGAGAAATGAGAAAGTTGAAAAAGAAAAAAAGACACTTTAAAGACTCTTTTTTGTGCCAGTTTTGAGGTCCTTTTTGCCAACAATACATTTAGTAAAATAACTACATCTTAAGTAGTATCTGTGCAAATAGAGGCATAAGAACAGAGGTGGGACAGTTTTTATGAAAAAGCCCTGACAGAAGGGGCAAACCAGACAATCCCAGATGTGCCAGACTGTGCATCAGAAAGAAAATCTTTTCATTTCATGGAGCATTTTGATAAATGTGATATGTGAACAAGAGCTCCAAGTAAAGGGGCTCAGACGTACTGAAAAGTTAAAAGACCTCTACCAGTTCACCAAATCATTTTAAAGCCAGCAACCACTTTTGTGTGTGTGTGTAAACTTAAAAAAAAAAAAAAAAAAAAAAAAAGGAGTTCAGGTCAACAAAAGGTCCAAAAAAAGAGCAGCTTATTGCCATGACTTCTATACATTTCTCACTAGGTATAAGTGATCATATCCACATCAGCTGCTGTCAGACTTTTGTTTGGTTCATTAAAATATCTTGTTTGGTCAGTCCTACCACTATATTTATTTTAAATATAGTGAAACCTTAACTGAAGGGGCAAACTGACATTAAGCAGCCACTTAAAAGCCTTTCCAGATTACCACTGCACTCTTTGCGGTAAGGATTTGGGTACCGTAAAGTTTGGAGCCAAACTCCACTTTCCCTTCATTTCTCAGATCGCCTCAATATAAACTCCAAATCCAGGCAGTACCACCACAGACGTGTACTGCCAGTGAAACCAGCCAAAACTTGTCCTTTAGTCTGAGGTGGTCTTTTCAGCAAACTTTGGGAAAGGGCCCAAAACTGCAATCACTGTTCTGCTTTTTAAACCCCACTTCAAAGTCAAAAAGCTGATTTTCCTCTCTTGCTGCTTAAGGCAAATTTAACTGGATACACAAATGGCGTAAGCGCCAAGCCCATTTAGAGTCGGAGAAACTTGCAAAACATACACGGGCAGATTCTGTTGTTCTTACTCACTTTAAATAACTCCAACTAAACTAGTGGGACTTCTCGACACAATTAAGAAAAGCAGAATCCAATGCAAGAAGAGAAAATACACACGTTTTGCAGTAAGAATCCAGGCTTCAATGCAATCATTTAATGGACAGTTATGCAAGTCAAAAAGCAACAGCACAGTCTTAAATCCGAGCTTGCTTTAAGCAGTAATCACACTTCAGACTAAAATTCATATCTGCTGAGATGTGTTTGTGAATTGCGGGGGTTGAATTTCCAACTCAAGATGCTAGTGCATCAGTCAGTATTGACCTAATAGGAAAGGGCACGCTTAATATTAGGTTAATGCAAAGCACTCAACTGCAGGACGCTGGGGGCATCCATCTGCTTTGGGAAAAAAAAAAAAAAAAAGCAGGCAGGAATTTTGGCAAGATAGAGCGCAAGTTTCTTTCAGAGAAGACTGAGAAGATTTAGGTCCCTTCTTCCCGCTATTACTCAGCCTCTCGTATATTCTCATATATGCATGCATACATACATACATATGTAGCATATATACACACATATATATTAATAAACGCATATTAAAAAATAATAAAGATAAATAAAAAGGACAATTTAAGACGAACGATCGCCTCAAAACACCCGGAAAGAAAACACGGTTTGGATCGAGCGCCGGAGGGGGCAGGAGCGAGGGGCTCCTCGGCGGCCTCGGCCCGCGGCGGTAGCGGGGCAGGTGCCTCGGG